TCTTTCCCTCATTCATAATTCTGGGGAGAGGGTGGACCAAAGTCCTCATTTGGGAATGTCTTTGAGCTCTGATACGTAACGTTTTTTAGAAATTTTTTTTAATTGGAGTATAATTGCTTTACAACGTTGTATTAGTTTCTGCTGTACAATGAAGTGAATCAGCTATAGGTATACCTATATCCCCTCCGTCCCGGACCTCATTCCCACGCCCCCATCCCACCCATCTAGGTCGTCACAGAGCACCGACCGAGCTGAGCTTCCTGTGCTTTATAGCATGTTCCCACTAGCTATCTATTTTACGCATGGTAGTGTATATATGTCAGTCCTACCCTCCCACTTCGTCCCACCCTCCCCTGCCCCCACTCTGTCCACATGTCCATTCTCTAGGTCCACGTCTCTATTCCTGCCCTGCAGATAGGTTCACCTGTAACAGCAGGTGGACTTCCCTGGGGGTCCAGTGGGTAAGACTCTGTGTAGGGGGCCCGGGTTCGATCCCTGGTAGAGGAACTAGATCCTGCACGCATGCCGCAGCTCAGAGCCAGACAGCCAGAATAAACAACCATGTTTTTTAAAAATAAAAGCAACAGCAGGGATGTGCCCAAGTCACCTACCAGTGTTCTTTCTGGTCAGTTTCTATTAATTGCATTGGCCTTACAGTCAGGGGAGGACACACTGCAACAACTGTGAATCCTGAAAATTGACAAATTATCTCAAAATCCCTCAACATCATACTGTTTCTCTTAGAAAGGAAGTTCAGGGGAGTGGTTAGGAGCATGGGAGCTGGAGCTAGACTCTGGGGCTCAAACCTGGCTCCGACCCTCTCCAGCTGTGTGACCTTGGCAAACAGGCTTTGCAGTTGGCCACGAAGATTGCCCATCCACAGATGCAGACAAATTTTAAAAGTACAATTGTTCTGCATTTATGTGTGTGATTATTTAATGGAGACCAATCATTAAGGCCATTCTGCGGCTTCAGCTGGAAGCTTCAGAAACGTTATCTCAATGTATAGTGCTCACTGCAAGGGAAGTGTAACAATGCCATGGCATAAATGAGTAAACTGAGGCTCAGAGAGAAGTAATTTGCCCAGACACGCAACACTTAAGTGGCGGCGGCAGAACTGAAACTCAGGTCACCTGATTTCCCTGTCTCAGCATTTTGTGCTGAACAGCCCCCCTCAAAATGATCACGGAATAAACAACCCAAAGAAATGCAAAAATATTTAATAATTCGCAATAAATTTACAACAGAAGACAGAACGGCAAATACACACAGGAACCTCATAAATACAAAACACACTTAAGTAACGGAATTCAGAAAAACACTTATCCAGAGGCCATTTGGCCCTTTCACTCACTACCCAGTCCCTCAGGGAAAGACACTTCCCCAGCGGGGAAGGGCAAGAGTCACATATTCATGGAATCGCAAAGCCGGCACTGAAGGTTCAAAGCAGGGGTGGGACCTGTCATGAGACAGGGCTGTTCCTGTAACCACAGAAGTAGAAACTGCTCCATGGTACGTGGCGGTCAGCGACCAAGAAGGACACGGACTCCAGTCTTTTCCTGCCAGCCCGGGCCCTGGAAGACCTTAGGGCAACGCATCCCGCGGAAATATCGCTGCTTCCGGGGGAACTCGTTGTGGTCTTTGGGAAAAGGGCGCCTCTGGCACCAGCGCCCGCGGGTCCAGGCTGAGAGACCCGCCTGGTCCGATGGGGCCACGGAGGAGGGCGGCGTCCGCAACCAGGCGCCCCCAGAGCTTCGGGTCGCAGGCGGAGCCGCGGCGGGATCACAGACAAGGACCCGAGTGCGCCACCAGCCGCAGGTCCCACGCCAGCAGGCGCAGGAGGTTGAAGATGACGGTGGCTTCGTGGCACCGAGGCGAGCCCTGCAGCCCGGGAAGGAGGCGGAGCGGGGCTGAGTCAGGGATCTCCTGCCCCTCCAGACCCCCCCTCCAGACCCTCACGGCTCCGAGCCGGGCTCCCGTCTAGCCGCTTTCCCGCCTGCTCCACTCACAGCTGTGCGAGTTTGGGGACGCCTCTTGGGCCTCCTCAGGGACTTCCTCCGGGAGCCTGGCCGGACCAGCTCGAGCTGGAGGGAGAACAGGAGGTTAATGAAGGCGGCGGGGAACCAAGCCTCCCCTCCCCTCCCCCTCCCAGCCGCAGACCAAAGGCCGGATTTGGGGACACCGAGAGGACGTGAATCGTGTCTGCGCCCGTTTCTGGCCTCATGCGACAGATTCGCAGTCGGGGGGCCTGGCCTTGAGGCCAGGGGCGCAGAGCGAGCCGGGAAGGGTGCGGGGCCAGGGCGCGGCACACTCACGCAGGCCGCCACGTCCCGCCCCACGGCCGCCAGCAGCTCCAGGGTCGGGCCGACGCCGGGGAACAGCTCAGGGCTCGGCAGGCTGCTCAGCACGTCTTGGGCGTCGGCGAGGCCGCGGGCCACCTGGCGGAGCAGCGCACGGGACTGCGGGCACCGGGCGGGAGTTAGACGGGACCGCGCGCCAGCCCGCCCTCCCCCACCCCGCCCGCCGGCGTCGGGCCTCACGGAAGGCCGCGGGGGGTCCCTCCTCCGGCGGAACGAGCAGTTGCGCGGCCTCCAGCTCAGCGTCTCTTCTTCCTGCGGGGCAAGGGCTGGGGTGACGCGGAGTCTCCTGGCAAGGGCCCCTGAAGCGCTGGGACGTCGGAGATTCCTGGACGTGGCTGGGGACCGGCCGGGACGGTTGTGCTTATCGTGTCCCGAACCGGGCAGCGCTCCGATGGCTGAGCGGGGCTGAAAGGCACCCGCGCTCCCCGTGCGGAGCCTGCGCCCCGATGTGGAGCCGAGTCCGCCTGGAGGGGGCGCCGCTCTGTGGCCCGCACCAAGGCCGTGCATGAGCTGACCACCGGGGCCTCCGGGAAGAGGTCGTGGTCACAGTTCTGGACCCTGAAATCTGAGATGTGCCTGCTGGACGCTAGGACGCTAGGGCCCCTCGGGACAAAGTCTGGTGTCTCCGAGCCCGGTGGGCCCGGGTCCAGGGGGCGGGGGCGTCTGAGCATCACTCACATAGCGGTCCCTCAGTGCCTTGATGGCCAGCAGCGCCCGGGG